AGCAACTTGCCAAAATGACCGAGCTGCCAGCTTAAATAGTATCTGTAGCTAAAGACAAAGGAGGGTGTTAGGGGTAGTAGTTTGGGACTTCAAAGGGAAGGAAGGCAATTCACATGGAAATGGAAAAACAAATGTTTGGTAAACAGAACTTTGGTAAGAATTGGCTTAGTAAGGACCCTCCAAGTCTACCAATACCCAGAGTTATCTGTGGTGATAGCCCGTCCTGGGGACAGGCCTTTTATCTTAAATTCTTTTAAGCAGTTAGGGGAAAGGTCAAAGTTTCTTTCAGAGTCTTTTGTTCTTAACAATAATCAAGGCAAGGCAAAGAGCCATATTTTGGGGTGGCCAATTCTGATCCCCCATACCACATAGGGGTCTACTCAAATGTTATCAAAGAACTTGTCCCTAACCATCCCATATCAAATAACACCAACTTTTATCAACTCCATCCCCTTATTCTTTTTTTTTAAACCTCGTTTTATCAATTGACTGTTGTCTTACCCACCAAGAACATCAGCTTCATGAGGGCAGAGATTTTTTTGTTAATGACTGTCTACCCAGTTCTTAGAAGAGGGCCTGAGACAGACACTCAATAAATACTTGTTACTGAATTATATAATCTTTGGAGGCTTTTGAGAATTAGAGGAAGATTCTCTGCCAAAGCTCCTTAATACTTGCTCCAACCGGCTGTTGTTCTGCCAAATCCCACCCAGTGATAAAGGAAGCAAAATCAGGAAACAGTGGCCTCTGTAGAAGAAAGAGATAGAAACACCAGACAATCAGAAGCATTTGCTAAGCTTGTATGACCTCTTCAATTTAGTTGTTGGCTATTTTTGAATTGAAAAATTAAGTTTCTTTTAATGGAAATAACATATGATAATCTCTTTGTACTAGAGAATGCTGGAGGCTTATCAAGGTCCATGTTCTCTTCTTCATGATACCCACATAGATTACATTTCCCAGCTCCCCTTGCAGTTGGGTGAGGCCATGTGATAGTTTTAGCCAATGGAAAGTGGCTGAAAGCACTGTGTGTCACTTTCAGGTCTGGCCTATTAAAGAAAAGAAGACAAAGCAAACCAATGAAACAAAACAAAACAAAAACCCTTTCTGCACGTGATCTTGCATGCTGTTTCATTTTTGTCTGCTAGATATCAATGCTCAGGGAAACCTTGGGATCCACATGTTGAAGCTGGTACAACCTTTATCTACCTAGGTCCCTGAGTGACAGCAAGGAGCAGAGCTGCCATTGACTTGAACAGCTGCCTATTGATGTTGAGCCATTGTTCATTGTGGGTCTAGTTGTTAATATGTAATATTTGGCACATACTTATACTTTTTAAAAAATTCATTGATTATGTGAAATTCAAATTTAACCGGGCATCTTGTATTTTTTATTTGCTCAATCTGGCCACTCTAGAATCACATTTCAAGTCCTGACATATCCACACAAAAACTTGCACATGGATGTTTACAGAAGCATTATTCATAATAGCCAAAAGGTAGAAACAGCCCAAATATACATCAGCAGACAAGTGGATGAACAAAATGTAGTAGGTTCATATAAGGAATATTATTTGGCCATAAAAAGGAATGAAGTGCTGATACATGCTACAACATGGATCAACCTTGAAAACATTATGGTAAGTGAAAGAAGTCAGTCATAAAAACCCACATATGATATGATTTCATTCATGTGAGAATCCGGAGTAGGGGAATCTATAGAGACAGAACATAGATTGCTTGGGGCTGGTAGTAAGAGGAATGGGAGACTAGGGAGGGTAACAGCTAAAGGACTCATGGTTTCTTCTTGAGGTGATAAAATTGACTGTGGTGATGGTTGCAAATTTCTGTGATATACTAAAAACTGTTGAATTGTACACCTCAAATGTACAATTATACATTTGTAATTATAGTATATGACTTTTATCACGTGATTTTGTTTTGATTATTTGTTTAGTGGTTACCTTGAGGTTTGTGTAAAAAATTTTGTGTATGAGATAGTCCATTATCTGATGGCCTCCTATTTCCTTATACTAAGTCAATTCAATCACTTTCCTCTTCCCCTTCTAAGTCGTTCTTGTTATACTTTATTCTATCTTGTGTTGTGGGTGTGTGTTCACAGTGATGAGGTAAATATATTATTGGTGAATTCCTTCCTTTGATCTTTGATTTTGGTATTTAAGTGGTTGCTAACCTATTCCGGTAATGATCTACTATTTTTCTGAGTTTGTCTACCTATTTTTCTCCTTGCTCCAAGCTTTGTATTCCCTTTCTCTTCTTTTTTTCAGGCCTGAGGGCCTTCTTGAGTATTTCTTGTAGTGGGGGTCTCGTGGCCATGAACTCCCTTAGCTTTTGTTTATCTGGGAAAGTTCCTATTTCTCCATTGTATTTGAAGGATATTTTTGCTGGATAGAATATTCTTGGCTGAAAGTTTTTGTCTTTCAGTATTTTGAATATATCATTCCAGTCTCTCCTAGCCTGTAAAGTTTCTGTTGAGAAATCTGCTGACAGCCTGATGGGAGTTCCTTTGTACGTTATTTTTTGTTTTTGTCTAGCTGCCCTTAATATTGTTTCTTTGTCATTGACTTTGGCCAGCCTTACCACTAGATGTCGTGGAGTGGGCCTTTGCCTGTTGACGTGTTTAGGTGATCTGTTGGCTTCGCTTACTGGTATTTCCTGCTCCTTCCCCAGATTTGGGAAGTTCTCAGCTATTATTTCCTTGAATAGGCTCTCTTTCCTCTTTCCCTCTCTTCTCCCTCAGGAATACCTATAATTCTTATGTTACATTTCCTAATAGAGTCAGATATTTCTCGGAGACTTTCTTCATTTCTTTTTAGTCTTAGTTCTCTCTCCTCTTTCATCTGGAGCATATCTGTATTCCTATCCTCTATAATGCTAATTCTTTCCTCCATATTGTCAGCTCTGTTCTTTAAAGATTCCAGATTCTCCTTTATCTCCTCCATTGCATTCTTAATTTCCATCATCACTGATTGGTTTTTCTTTATGATTTCAATCTCTTTTGTGAAGAAACTCCTAATCTCATTGAATTGTTTCTCTATGTTGTCTTGTATTTTGTTGAGTTTATTTATGATAGCTATTTTGAAGTCTCTGTCATTTAGGTTATGGATTTCTGTGTCTTCAGGGTTTGTTTCTGGGTGCTTGTAATTTTCCTTCTGGTCTGGTGATTTCATGTACCTTTGCATTGTGGTTCGTGTATTGGCTTTGTTTTTCCTCATCCTGGAAATATCTAGTTGCAATTTCCACCCGCCGCCACTGTGTGGGGGTAAAGGGCTGTGTAATCTGAGCCCCCTGCACTCTGCCAGGGCTATTCACTGTGATCTGCCAGTCGCTTGGTCTGGTCTGCTGAGCTGCAGGGTCCAGCTTGCGGGCAGTCGGGGGGCTCTCTCTTTTTCCCACTGGGTCTCTGGCGTGGGGGGCTTCTCATTCACCCCTCGTTATCTGCTCTCCTGGGGTGCTCAGATGTTGATGGTGGCCCTGTAGCTGTTCTGAGTTCTCTGTGTGGGAGTTTCACACTGGCTGAGAGAGCCGGAAGAACTATGGTTTCCCTGCAGAGGGCCACCCCTCCCCCTTCTCTGGGAGCCGCGTGGACCATGGTCGCTGATCTGATAGGGAGAGAGAGGAGTTCTCCTTACCTCTCCCACTTCCTCCGGGGGCCCAGCACATTCCACTCTCAGATGGCAGCAGTGTGGATCTTTCCGATCTTGCTTTTCACTGTCTAGGATTCCGTTGTTGGTCTGTGACTGTTCCTTTTGTTGTATCTTATCAGGGGAAGAGTTTATGGGAAAGCTTACTCTGCCACGATGCTGACATCGCTCATGACCTTTCTAAATAAATCTGTTTTTAAAAAAAGTTCTTACCTGGCTTCATGTCCTTGCATGTCCTTGCTCTAGTGTCTGGATCACTGCTCTGATGTCTTTGCCACCACACAGGAAGGCATTAATCGTTCCAGAAAGTGATCTTGGAAAGAGGGAGTTTAAATTGTGATACTGAAAAAAAAAGGAAACAAATAAAAACCTAGACTCTTCTTAGAAGTAGTAGTTGACAAATAAAGGAATTTTTTTTTTTTTTTTTTT